GTGGATGACAAGCCTGTGGAATGCAGTAAAGCACGAGAACTTCATCTTCAGCTTCAGAAACAGCCTCGTAGCTGACGCATACATGAGGCTTTGCACAGAGTTCAACAAATGGGAGTGGGAATTCAGAAAGGACATGTACACCTGGGTCACAAATGCAGAAACAGAAATTTCCAATTTTGGTACAGTTGGTGCCAAATCTCAGACATCTGACATGGACACATTTCTCACTCAACTGAAAAGTGAAGCAACCACAGAGCTGTCTAAATGGGAGACAAAGCTTCTCAACAATCTAACACAGTACTTCAAGCAAACAGAGGGTCATGTCTATCTAGTTGAAGGATACAAAGAGGAGTTCTCAAACAGTGCAAAGAGCCTTCGACAAGAAATGAAAAGCTCTGTCGTTAATCAGCTCACAGCAGCAGCAGACATCAGACGGGGAATGAGAGAACTTGACAGAATCAAGGAGAACCACACAAACGAAATAGAAAAAGCAGTGTGTGCATTAATTGATGAATGTCGAAAGAGAAAAGTCCAGATGGGAGAGACAGAACTGGACAAAGAATTTGATAAGATGTGGAATGAAACTCTCAAAAAACTTCCATTTTCTGAACAACAGACCACAGATGTCTTCACCAGGGTAGATCACTGCCTGAGAGCAAATCTGTCACACAAGGGGAGTGGTGCATGTGAATTGCTAAGTCAAAAAAGACTGCAAGATTGTGGACAAGAGCCTTTCACATGTACAAATGAGTGTCAGAAAAAATTTAAACACGAAGAGAAGAAGTTGTGGTACGGCAAAGATCATGTACAAGAAATGGCTGACAGCATCATAGCTGCTTGCACACAGTTTGTAACTGAAAAGATCCAGAGAAAAAACAACTACCATGATACTTACATCCAGGAGCTCCTACTCATCATCGATGAGAGTTTGGAAAACAATCAGAATGTGAAGACAGACATCGAGTTTGAGGTTTCTCTGAAACAGCACATCTGTGGATTTGCAGCCAAGCGCTTTGAAGAAATGCACAAGAATTTCATTCAAGAAAATGATCCCCACAGATGTTTGATGAAAAACAAGGAAAGGTTTCGTTCTGATTTCAAAGATGTGTTCCATAAGCGAGACCAGGGCCAGAAGAAGGCAGAAGAATTCACGGACCAATGCCTGAAGCCTGCTGTTGAAGAGTTTGTCAATCGCTCCTTAGGTCCAAACATCGTTGACGAAATGCTCAAACATGAGGAGTTCAGCACACGAATGTCCTTCCAGTGTTCACTTTTGAAGGACTTGCTTTCAAAGAAAAAACTTGAAGACTATTTAAACTTCAGTTCCTCTTACGAGCACTACGTCAAGAACAGAATCCTTCAGCAAATAGAGGAACGTTTCCCAAGCTCCTCAGCAACATTTAAGTATGAGGATCAACATCTTAAGTCAAGTATCAGCAACATAAATGATGCCATCGCAAAGGCCAAAACAGGGAACTGTGTCAACTTGAAGGCCTTTGTTGAAGATATCTGCAAAGAACTTGGCAACAAAAAACTTGTCATTTCCCAAACTGCTCTTGATACTGTCATGACCCTGAACAATGCTGACAAGGATTCGTTTGCTCGCTGGCTCACGGTGTCTGTGAATGACATGGCAGAAACTCTCAGAGAGAAGTTTAAAAAAATGACCATTGCAGAGAAACTAAATCATCTCCATATGAAGCCCCAGAATGAGCTCTTCACCAGAGTGATTGGATGTGGCAAACAGTGTCCATTCTGTGCAGTGCCTTGCGATGCAGGAGGAAAAGCCCATACTGAGCACTTTGCTTCACTGCATTGGCCAGAGGGTCTGGGTAAATGCAGGTGGGACTCAACGAAAAAACTTGTCACTGACATATGCTCTTCCTTAGTGATCAGTGACGTAAAGTTTTGCTGCGATGCTACAAACAATGAACCGTACCCTTACAAACGTTACAAGGAAATTTTTCCTGACTGGGATATTCGTCCAGATGTGAGCCTCGAGGCATCAAACTACTGGAAATATGTAATGGCAACATACAACACTGACTTTGCCAAAGCATATGGTGTAGAACCTGCTGATATTCCTGCCACATGGAAAACCATCACATACAAGCAGGCAGAAGACAGCCTCAACGAATCATTTGGCACCAAGTAATAGTCCTCCTCAGTAAAGTAGGGGCCCTTTAATGGTCACCTTACTACAGGGATCTCAAACTCGTGGCACGCGGGCCAATAGCGGCCCGTGAAACGATATTTTGTGGCCCCCTGCACGAAATCAAAGATTGGTATTAGTGCGGCCCGCGCGTTTTTTCTGACTTGCATCTGGGCGTTTATATTTTTTAACACCTGTGGGCTACCGTAGCTTGGGCATGTGACGACAACAATACGAATTAGAAAAGTAATGTGCTTCAGGATTATCACTGAGTGGAGGAAAAATTTACCCTGTTACCCAGCTCCAGTCATGTCATTTTCAAAACCTGCCGTGAAGAGAAAGATTGGCGATGAGCACAGACAACTTCAGGAGAAGTGTGAGACGGAATATTTTTTTGTTGAGCACAGAGGCATTCCGACATGTCTAATATGCACGGATAAAGTTGCGGTGCACAAGGAATGTAACATCAGACGTCATTACTCAACTAAACATGCCGAGGAGTATGCTAAATACATGGGAAATGAGCGACAGGAGCGGGTCGCCAAACAGAACATCTCTACTGAGGCAGCAAGATTTTTTTAAGAAAGTAGACAATCTCTTCTCTTTGTGATATGGCTGTCAAAGCTAGCTACGTGCTGAGTGAGAGATTGCTAAGGCGGGAAAGCCGTTTAAAGACGGCGAGTTCATCAAACAGTGCATGTTACAGACTGCGAGAATAGTCTGCCCAAAAAAAAAGGGTCAGTTCGGCAACATCAGCATTTCAGCCAACACAGTGGCAGAGTGCATTTCAGACATGTCTGATAATATCTGTGAACAACTGCGTGAAAAAGCTATACATTTCCATTCATTCTCAGTCGTTCTTGATGAGAGCACAGACGTCACTGACACTGCGCAGCTCGCAATATATGTCCGTGGTGTTGATGACAATTTTGAAGTGCTGGAGGAGTTACTCACAATAATTCCAATGCATGGCCAGACCACCGGTCAGGAGATATTCCACCAGCTGTGTGATGCCATTGCGGATGCCGGCTTTCTATGGCAGCATTTTGCTGGAATAACAACCGACGGAGCGCCATCAATGACAGGGAAGAAAAATGGACTGGTGGCACTTGTTCAAAGAAAACTGGAAGAGGAAGGCTTGGAAGAAGCCATTGCTCTGCACTGCATTATCCATCAGCAGGCCCTTTGCAGCAAATGCCTGAAGTTTGACAATGTGATGTCTGACATTTTGAAGTTCATCAACCATATAAGATCCAGGGGTTTAGAGCACCGGCAGTTCTGTGCTTTTTTAGAGGAAATACAGTCAACATGTGAGGATGTGCCCTACTTCACAGATGTATGTTGGTTTAGCAGGGGGAAGGTCCTGAAGAGATTTTTTGAGTTAAGGGCAGAAGTTAAAGCTTTCATGGAAAGGGACTGTTCCTGTACCCAAATGGTTAATGGACTTAGCTTTTCTTGTTGACATCGCACAGGAGCTAAACATACTGAATACAAAGTTACAAGGCCAGGGCCAACTTGTCAGTGCTGCATATGACAATGTCAGAGCATTCTCCAGAAAACTTGTGTTATGGAAAGCCCAGCTTTCCCAGACAAACCTCTGCCATTTTCCTGCATGCAAGGCACTCATGGATTCTTGCACAACATTTCATGGTGAAAAGTATGCTGATGCCATTGGAAAGCTACAGGAAGAATTTGATCACAGATTTGCAGACTTCAAGACACACAGAGTCACTTTTCAAATTTTTGCTGATCCCTTCTTCTTCGATGTGGAAGATGCCCCCACTGTGCTTCAGATGGAGCTAATTGATCTGCAGTGCAATTCTGAACTCAAAGCAAAGTTTAGGGAGGTGAATGGAAAAGCGGACAAGCTTGGACAATTTTTGAAAGCATTGCCCCCCACCTTCCCTGAGCTTTCCAGGATGTTCAAGTGGATCATGTGCATTTTTGGCAGCACCTATTCATGTGAAAAGCTCTTCTCCACAATGAACTTTAAGAAATCAAAGTTCTGGTCAAAACTTAAAGATGAGCATCTTAAAGTCATACTGAGGGTTTCAGTTACTTCCTCCCTCAAACCAGATGTGGCTCAGTTGTGTGAGAAGAAAGGCTGCCAAATCTCTGGCAGCAAGGACTAGGAATAAGTAGAAGAAGCCTATGTTCTGAAGAACAGTTCATGTTCTGACTTGTTAATAGTTATTTATTTTGTTATTGTATTTAAAAAAGTTTGATCAGTTGTACGTTTCTTGGTGGAATTCTTGATGCGGCCCAGCCTCACCCCGACACTACCTCTAGTGTCCCTCATGTAAGTTGAGTTGAGACACCTGCCTTACTGCATACAAGAGAAGATGAAAGATATTGTGAGTACACATACATATTTGACCACTTGCTCACAACAAGGTAATGTAAGAAAGTAGCTGCAAGTAAATTCTCACTTGTACTCATCTTTGCATTTGACACATTTAATGAACTCCATTCATCTGCGTTATGACTGTTTTGTGTGACAGTTCATGTCAATATAGTCGAACTGAAGAATGTATCAAAGCAGCAGAGAAAACAAACATTGCTTTTTTGTCTTGATTACATTAAATATGATTTGAGAGCATTTTTTTGATTGATTTTTTTTGCAAAGTATTTGATGTCCAATTGTTGCACTTGTGTTTCTTATAGATCTGGATGTGGTAACGTTATAATAACATGATAATTCGATACATGTATGAAGTTAAATCATTTTGTGTTTGATTCTGTGACATATCTGATATCATGTATTTACATTTTGAATGTATCAAAAGATCCTGAGGTTGTTTGTATGATCTACATACTTGCATGAATGTCATTATGATGTTGCTGATAAGACAAGGTTTGAGGTCTGAGTCACATCTTCGTGACAAATGTGTGAAAAATTTATTTCATGATTAAAGAATTATACTTCTTAGTTTTTTTGTTGTTGTATTAAGTGGCAAAACTACCTGTTCTTTCAGATTTTAGCTCTTAGAAGTGTCTAATTATGATGCAAGTGGTTGTTTTTTTCCCTAAAATAGGCGGTTTTCTGTGACAATTGTTTTTCAATGCATGGTTTCTTTAAGCAGTTGATGAATAAATACATGCTCTGGGATGAAACACAAGCTTTATTCCAAGATCATATGTCGTGTTCTTTAGCTTCAACTTGAATTTTAAGCTTTGCAGGCAGCAGAGACTTCATTCTTCGTGATTATTTGTCCAAAAGTGGAGTGACGATTTTGTTGGCAAAGATTTCTGCTTGAGGTATATTAATTTTACTATGGTGGTGGTGTTTTAAGAGCTGTATTTATAAATTGCAAACCAAGATAATCAGTGAGTCCTATGTAATTTATTGGTACCTTAAAATAAGCAAGATCTAACTCTAGTTAAGAAAAATTCACATCTTTCCTTCAATTTCAAAGCTGGACTACTAAAACTTCAACTGGAAATAGCTATTTATACAGACCACATGAAGGTAGCATGTTTATCTGTGACCAGAAAGAAATAGGATTTTTTATTTCTTTATTTATTTTTTGCAACAGATTCTTGTGATTTTTACGGGCAGTTGTAAGCAAGATTATTAAGCATTTCTTTCAGTTTATGTTGGGATATGTGTCTTGTTGGTACATCTTAGAGATAAGAGACCTAACTAAGCCTCTACAGTTATGAATACTTCATAAGTCTAAATGATTTTTTCTTCATTTTAGGTTAGAGGGTCAAGATCACACCGCATGCAGATCCTGTATCAGCAAACCCTGGCTGATCTTACACTTGACTGACATCCATATGTGGTGTTTGTGAACTCCCTGAGAAAATTTTACAAAAGGGTGACATGTTTTCAAGTCATTGTCAGGAAGCTGAAAATTTGGTTATTTTATCACCAAGTTGTGAATCAGATCCTGAACCTTGTCATAAATGTTTCAAGTCCAAGACAAAGCAGAGCTCACTGAACGCTTCAGAAAAGTCTTTACCGCTTACAACAAGCTGCCTGTCACAGTGAACATCATGTTGTATTTAGAATGTTCTCTGTTTAGTAAGATTATCGTTAATCTTCGGTAACATGAAGCTTGAAGCAGACCGTTTCTGTGGCAACTACCATTAAAAATGTGAGAGAATCATTGAACATCATTGCAGCACATGTGTTACTTTCAGTTCAATCTTTTAAGATTCTTCAACCAGAACAATAAATCACTGAAAGTACTATTGTTATGGCTCAGAAACAGGTAAATATAGCTACATAATCAAATCTGTAAATGGCTCATTGTAGTCCTCTATCATTGATTATTTTCCTGGTATTATAAAATGGGACATGTGATATATTTCTACCATATGTGGCTGTAATGACAAATACTCTGACACACTGGTTTAACTTCAGTAGAACGTATGTATTAACTGTTGTTTCTTATTGTATGTGTAACATCTGTGCAGTGGCTTACTTTAACTCCACTGTCAAACAAACTCTGCAGAACATAAAACCATACACAGTTAAAATCGTCTGCTGGTTCTGTATTTGTTATCAACTCTTTTATTTTGAGCGATACCAAAATTACCACTTTTCCAGGAATGAATCGATAATATTTCTGATGCAAACCTCCTGACAATATTGTTATTGTGTTGCTGATAAAATCTGTACCTTAGAAGTGGGTTTATGAGTGCAGGACTTTGACTTGTAAGATAAGAGAAGATATGTAAGACATGTACAGTCGTATTTTTTCCATTGTTGCGTCACTGCTTTATAGATTACGTATCAGGCTAAATGCTACAGGTACTCAGGGTGTGTTTCACAAGCAAAAAGCAACTTAGAAAAGTCACTCAATTGTAAAACCTGTTGGTATTAAACATGTTATTGTGATCAAACCTGTGTGCGAACAGACAACAAGCAGCTTATCCTTATTTAAAAATGCCACAGCTTAGCCCAAACAATGGATTTAATGGGGTCACCTAAACTGCACAACACATAAATGTGACCTGAACCTGTAATCAGAAAGTTCAGTTTCATTATTTCATTGATGGATAAGAGCCTTTCAGATACACAAATGAAG